CTTCCCAGCCCTAGCTACAGTTTTAAATTTAATATATACCAGATATTTCCAAATACATAAATTTTACTTGTTATTTAAGATATTTCAGTTGTATAGGAAACAGCAGTTTACCTTTGACAAATAAGTTAAATCTTAAGTTTGGCTTTGAATCTGAGAGTATATTAAAATACATCTACATCCAGTGTCAGGGTCATCATGAGTTTTTCAAAAATAAATAACCCTTGTGATCTGAATTTTAGATTATTAGTAGTTTTTGTTAGGCTGGGTGTTGGTAGTTCGTGCTTGTAATCTTACTCAGGAGGCTGAGATCTGGGGATCATAGTTCAAGGCTGGGTGGGAAATTCCATGAGACTCATCTCTAACTAACAACCAGAAAACAGGAAGTGGCATTGTTCAAAGTGGTAGAGGGCTAGCTTTGAGTGGACAAGCCCAAGGACAGTGCCAAGGTCCTGAGTTCAAGCCCCTTGCCAAACAAAGAAAACAAAAATTATTGGCATAAATGAATTATACAAGGAATTGCACTATGATATTAAATATGTACAGATAATCTACAAAGTTTCAATTTAACATGTCCATTTTTGTGTATAATGTACCTTGATCAGTGTCACTCCCTGCATTTTTAACTTCCCCATCTATCCCATCCCCACTTACCGCCTAAATTCTCCTAGGTCTAATAGCCAAGCACCGGTAATGCCTGTAATCCTTTGCTACTTAGGAAGCTGAAATCTGAGGATCCAGGTTCAAAGCCAGCCCAGGCAGGAAAGGCTGTGAGACTTTTATCCCTAATTAAAAAAAAAAAAACTGGAAGTGGCAATGTGACTCAAGTAGGATAGTGCTAGGCTTGAGCAAAAAGGAGTTGAGGGACAGTGGGCTCAGGCTTAACGTTCAAGCCTAAAAACTGACCCCAAAAATAATAATATTGAGCATTATGATTGTATTTGCCTACCATTCCTCTGTCATTTGTCCACCTTGAGCAAAAAGGAGTTGAGGGACAGTGGGCTCAGGCTTAGAGTTCAAGCCTAAAAACTGACCCAAAAAATAATAATATTGAGCATTATGATTGTATTTGCCTACCATTCCTCTGTCATTTGTCCACCTTCCTTCCTCTTAGCCCCTATTGCAGTATTTAGTAGCTATACAAAGGGGTTTCAATTCCAGAAGCCCAGGTTATCAGTACATTGTATGTTGATCAATGTCACTCCTTCCATCATTCTTTCTTTTTTTTTTTTTTTGGTCGGTCGTGGGGCTTGAACTCTGGGCCTGGGCGCTGTCCCTCAGCTCTTCAGCTCAAGGCGAGCATTCTACCACGTGAGCTACAGCGCTACTTCCTCATCATTCTTTCTATATATATTTTTTTTGGGGGGGGGAGGGTCTAGTTGTGGGGCCTGAACTCTGGGCTTGGGCGCTGTCCCTCAGCTCTTCAGCTCAAGGCTAGCGCTCTACCACTTGAGCCACAGTGCCACTTCCGGCTTTTTTCTTTTTTCTTATGTGGTGCTGAGGAATCGAACCCAGGGCCTCAGGCATGCAAGGCAAGCGCTCTACCACTGAGCCACCTTCCCAGCCCTCAGTATATATATTTTTTCATTTTATTTTATTTTTTTGTGAACATACTGTACAGAGGGGTTACAATTACATGGGCAGGATAATGCGTACATTTCTTATCAAGCCCTCAATATATTTTTTAATGATTTGTAGTTATAATTTTTCTTTTTTCTTTTTTCTTTTTCTTTTTGCCAGTCCTGAGGCTTGAACTCAGGTGAACTCAGGGCCTGGTCTCTGTCCCTGCGCCTCTCTATGCTTAGGGATAGTGCTCTACCACTTGAGCCACAGTGCCACTTCTGGCTCTTGCTGTTTATGTGGTACAAAGGAATGGAACCCAGGGCTTCATGCATGCAAGGCAACCACTCTACCACTAAGCCATATTCTCAGACTATGTAGTTATAATTTTTGATATGGCTATAAATTAAATGATAAGCCAGTCATGATAGATTACAGTTCTGTGTTACTTCTTCTGTTTCATTGACAGTAATTCAAAATCGGTCAACAAACTACAGGAGCCTTAGAGATCTGGCTTTTTGGTTTAGGGTGTTTTTAAGTACTGGAACTGGGATTTAAACTCAAGAGTCTTGCTTGCTAGGCAAGTTGTTTTATCACTTGAGCCACACCCTCAGATTTTTTTTCCTTCAGTTTTTAAAATTTTTTGTCAATATTGAACTCAGGGCCTTGCATTTGTTAGATTTGTTCGTCTGGTACTTTACCACTTCAGCTACATTTCTTTTTTTTTTTTTTTGGGTCCGGTTGTGGGGCCTGAACTCTGGGCCTGGGCACTGTCCCTCAGCTCTTCAGCTCAAGGCTAGTGCTCTACCGCTTGAGCCACAGCGCCACTTCCTGCTTTTTTCTTTTTGCTTATGTGGTGCTGAGGAATTGAACCCAGGGCCTCAAGCATGCAAGGCAAGCGCTCTACCACTGAGCCTTCCCAGCCCCTCTTTTTTTCTTTAGTTTTATTTTTCAGGTAAGTCCTAGTGTTTTTGCCCAGACCTCACAACTGGTTCTCCTGTTTCTCCCCTGTCAAGCTGGGGTTACAGATGTCCTTACCCTCACTTGGCCTCAACAGTTCTGTTTTTAAAAAAGATACTTTTATACTTAATTTATATGGAAGTGGAAATAATTGCTATTACTGAATTTACTGGCATGAGCCTCAGAACATTTTTGTAAAATCCAAGTTTTTGAATAGATAGTTTGGAAGCATGGTTTTTATCAAGCAATTAATCAATTTTTTCCATCAGAGTGAAGCAATTTCTTTTGAAGGATGAGACTAACAAGATTTTTTTTTTCTTCTGTTAGCGAGTACCACAAAACCTGAAGAACTAAGGTAAGTAATATATTGCAACTTAGAAAAGTTTTATATTTAAAATTCTTATCTTTAATGTATATAATAAATATATATATATATAATTTATGCAGATACCCAAAAGCATGTTTCAGCAATTTATATAGTTGCTGTTATTAATTGAACATTGTTAAGGATCTCTTAGTAACAAGTTCTCCATAGGCATTGGGAGACAGTAGAGAACAAGTAAATGTAATGCCAGATAAAGTTGACATTAAGAAAATGAAGCATTTTCTAATTTGGGGAAGGGAAAGGAAATAACAAAATGCTGAAATAAGGATACAGGCTGACTCATTGTAACAATGAGATGTACAAGACACTATGTTGAAAACAAACTTCACAACTGGGGCCGGGGAGGGAGGAGGTGGTGAGGGAAGGAATGGTAGGGGAAAAACAAAGGAGGGGGTAACAATGCTCTATAGGAAATGTACTCATTATCTTACTCATGTAACTGTACCCCTCTGTACAGTATCTTTACAATAAAAATACATATTAAGTAAAGAAAATGATGCACTTTGAAGACGTATAACATGGAATGGATATGCTATTCATAATGAAAATGACATTTATTATTAGCAAGTGATTGAGAATATAAAAATGAATAAATTTGGGGCTGGGAAGGTGGCTCAGTGGTAGAGCGCTTGCCTTGTATGCCTGAGGCCCTGGGTTCGATTCCTCAGCACCACATAAACAAAAAGAAAAAAGCCGGAAGTGGCGCTGCGGCTCACGTGTCTACCGCTCTACGCACTAGCCTTGAGCTAAAGAGCTGAGGGACAGCCCCCAGGCCCGAGTTCAGGCCCCATGACCGGACCCCCCCCCCAAAAAAAAAACGAATAAATTTAAAGCACAAATACTGATTTTTGCACATAAGCAATTTTGTTTATAGGTCCCAGTTGGTAGTGGTATATAATCCTTCCTTACATGATGTTGAATTAGGGTTAGTAGTTTGGTTTGTGTGTCTCTAGTCACACAGTAATTTGGTCTATAATTTTCTTATATCTTTATCTGGTTTTGGTGTCAGGGTGATACTGGCTTTACAGAATAAGTTAGTAAATAGGCCCTCCTTGTAATATTTTTAGAAGAATTTGTAAAGAATTGGTATTCTTCCTTAAATCTGTGGTAGAATTTATGTTATATGGCTGGCCTGGATTTTCTATTAAGTTTTATGATTCTTCATTCAGCAGGGAGTAGGTGGCTTATGCTTGTAATCCTAGCTATTAAGTAGACAGATATCTGAGGATCACAGTTCAAAGCCAGTCCAAGCAGGAAAGCCCATGGGACTCTTATTTCCAATTAACAACTCCCTTGTACCCAACCCCAGCCCCCAAAAAGCCAGAAGTGAAGCTGTGGCTCAAGTGGTAGAGCACTAGCTTTGAACACAAAAGCTTAAGGGCAGCACCCAGTTCTTGACTTCAAGTCCCAGGCCCAGCACCAAAAACAAAAACAAAAAACACTCAACTATTTTGTCATGCCTTTATTGGCTGAAAGGGAGACTGGGAAAGAATATGAGAGCTTAAAGTAAAGGAAGTACTTAGAAAAGAACAGAAATGTAAACAAAATATTTAAGCAGTAATATGATGTAGAAAAATGAAGGCTTGTTTGCAAAATATAGGCTTTCCTGTAAGATGTCCTGAGATACATATTTTTTAAATAAAAAAATGAATATGTTTCTTTCTTTCTGAGAATTAAAAGTTAATGTGTTACTGTCTTTGCAATGCCTTTGCTTTGGGAGTAGAAAAAGCATACTTAAATGCTGATAGCCTTTTTTTGTTTTTTAGAATAGGCTTTTAACCTTCCTCCCTTCCACCCTTCTCTCTGTCCTTCTTTCCCTTCTTTCTCTTTGTGATTTCTTTTCCAAGTTTGCTTTCATCTTTTATGTGCCTGCATTTGGGGCTCTATATTTACCTGTAAATAAAGTCTATCCACCTTCTCTGTTCCAGAAAGTGATCAGATCTCTGGTTTATGAATGGTTTCTTCCTTTGGTTCTCTGTTGTGTGTCTTTAATCATTTGCATAAGAATTTGGATGAAGGGAATGTAAATGCATGTGTTCAATTATCTGTTTTGAACCAGACAGAGGAATTTTAAAAAGATGCCTTCAAGCTCAGCTAGTTACTGCATTTTCAATCTTCCTTGGTACCCAGTTCCAGCAAACAAAGCAACTCTTAGTTTTTCTATTTGCTGGGGACAAGAGAAAGTGGTCTGTAATCCAAACCACAAAACCAAACCCCAAACATGGCAGAAATGATGTTCACCATTGATTTTGTTAAAAAGACACATAGTCTAAACACTTGATTTCCATATCCTCACCTATCAGTCCTGACTAATAAAGGGAGAGACTGAAGGAAGATGCCAGGGTTCACAGAGCAGTTAGACTTTTTAATGGTTCATCCTTTGTTGGGTGTCTCAGAAAACTAGCACAACCTATACCCCCTGGGGAAAGCAATGACTAAAAATTAGTAACCCAGAGATCCCAAAAGTACATAATTGTGTGGTTTTTTTTACTAGTTAATCTCTTAAACTTCAACTGCTTTGTCTATAGGTGGAGGGTGATTGTTATGAAGATTAAAGATGATAATATACATAAAGTACTTGGTTTAACATAGTAAATACCCATTGCATTCTGAATGTGTGTGTGTATGCACGTGCATGGTGTGTGTGTGTGTGTGTGTGTGTGTGTGTGTGTGTGTGTGTGTGTGTGTGTGTTCCTTTATGGAAAATTGTAGAGAAAGGAAGGAATTTTACCCATCTCCATGAAATTCATAGTCTGAAGGAAAGATATAACCATAATTTCACACTATGTGTTATTTATTTATTTTTATTGTGAAAATACCATGCAGAGGGGTTACAATTACATGAGCAAGGTAATGAGTACATTTCTTTTTCTTTTTTTTTCTGTTTCTTTGGGTCCGGTCGTGGGGCCTGAACTCTGAGCCTGGGAACTGTCCCTCAGCTCTTCAGCTCAAGGCTAGCACTCTACCACTTGAACCATAGCGCCACTTCCGGCTTTTTTCTTTTTGCTTATGTGGTGCTGAGGAATCGAACCCAGGGCCTCACACTGCAAGGCAAGTGCTCTACCACTGAGCTACCTTCCCAGCCCAAATGAATACATTTCTTATCAAGCATTGTTGCCTCCTCCTTCGTTTCCCCTACCCATCCCTTCCCATCTTCCCTCCTCCCCTTACTCTATGTGTTTTATATATAACAAAAATTTGATGCATATAAGTAACTCCTCAATTCTGGTGGGAGATACGACTTTTTTTTTTCTCCAGGGATACTAAAAGAGAAATCAGACATATATAATCATAGTTCCCCTTATTTGTAGTAATTAGAATATGCCTATAAATCTATGCCTATGAATCTAAATAATTCATAAAACCAGTGTTCTTTACTGACTGTATAATGATAACATGCAATAAGACATGGCTTCTGCCTATATACACTTTAAAGTCTAACACTTAAGAATTATATATACAAGCCGGGCGTTGGTGGCTCACGCCTGTAATCCTAGCTACTCAGGAGGCTGAGATCTGAGGATCAAGGTTCAAAGCCAGCCCGGGCAGGAGAGACCGTGA